TTTAGTGCCCTTAGTCCTCAGGGCCTGGTGCTGACAAACTGGGTCATACTGATCCCACGTGCCCCGCTCTCCCTGAGCTGCTTTGAGAAGGGCTTTCATGTCCGAACTGGACCTGGAGAAGAGAGGGGAGGGCCTGTGGGAGACAGGAGAACATGTGTGACTGTGGAGGTCACACGACGAGGAGGAGGATGACAGGATGAAGAGGGGTCATGGCTGGTTCACGCATTCAGTAGACAATTATTGAGCCCCTACCGTGTTTCAATCTGTGCCGTGTTCTGGGGACCCCTAGCTGATGACGACTTCATCTCGGCATCCAGGGAGGTCACGGTCCAGAGAGAGATCCCCGCTGCAGATGTGCCCGCCAAAGGGCAATGTCATCGCCATCCTAGTCTCAGACCTCCAGAAGGGGTCTCTGCTGGCTAGGCCAAGGGCTCTTGGGGGCTTGAGAATGCTGTGCAGCCAACAAAGAAAACCTTTTCTTAAGGTCTTTGTCCACAGCATGGAGGAAGGGAAAGGGAAGGTTGCGGGGGCGGTGGGACTAGACCTCCAGGTGAGGGAGATGGTGGGAAGGTGCGATGCTCAGCCCTGCTCCACTCATCACATCCTCATTGCAGCTGTCCAGCATCCCTGCCTGCCTCGTCCTCCTCCAGCCCAAACACTGCTGGGCCAGGCAGGCCTTTGTTTCAAGTTTCAATCTGATCACATCACTCCCTCTGGTGGACATCTGTTGATTCTGTCTACCCAGCACCCATTTCTCCAGCTCGTTAATACTCTTTCATTTCTGTTTTCTCACCACTTTTTCTCCCCAAATACTATTTCCCAAAAGAGGAGCTCCAAGGGTTCTAGAAGTCAAGCAAGGGGGCACCCAGACTTGAACTGGGGACCTCTTGATCTGCAGTCAAATGCTCTACCACTGAGCTATACCCCCTGCTGGCATCTTGCTTCTTACTAACAGCATTTCACCTTTAGCATCATGTTGTATTACATGGTAAACAGCAGAGATCAAATTTCAACTGGTAGAAAATAAAAGAAGGGGAGTGTATTTGGTCACAGCAATGTAAACAGAGAAGTAGCTGACTTCCATGAGCTCAAATACTATGAGGACTCTCTCCCTCCAGCTTTCATCTTTGGTTCCCTCTGAAGTCAGCTGTAATGTCTCAGACCAGTCTCTGCACGCAGCTGACACCCTGCCTCCAATATGTGTAGGTTCACATCTCCACACTTTGGTTGCCGGAGGGAAGTCTGAAAAATCCTAGGGAAGGGCTCCAGTTGGTTTGGCTTTAGCGCTGTGCCTATCCATGACCAACCACTGTGGCTGGGGGTAGGGCCCATGAGTGGTATAACCATTTCAGAAGCAAGGTCTTATAAGAATGTATCTGCTCCCACTCAGAATCTATGTCTACAGTATGGGGAAGAAAGGTGGCTCTTCAAAACAAGACACGGGTGGCTAAGACATAGCCACAGGGGACCATCGCTGCAGCTCTCAGCTTTCTTGGTGGAGTTTGCCGTACCAAGGGAGACTGGCAACCTACTGCCCCTGCTGCATGGAGCCGTCGGATTCCGTGATGGTTACTGTTAGGGTGGAAAGGCTAGTAGGTGCTCATGTTGCGGGTGGAGAAAGATTTTTCACACAGAGATTAAGATATATAAAAGTAGCATTTACTTTATCCTTTAGAAGGACAGAGAGAGAGGTGGCGGGGGGAGCAGAGAGACAGCGTGGCATCCCAAAGAAAGAGAAGGGAGATGCCAGTAGCGAGCCAGGTGGTTTGTTGCTTTTATGGACAAAAATAGTAATTGTAAGGTAATTAATAGGGTAGTCACAGGATGTCTTTCCTGTTTTTTCTGTTCCTCGAGACTTGGTTCTCTCTGAGATGTAGTCAGGCTTAGGTGCCTGCTGCGTGCTGACTCTGACGACCCTACAGTTCCTGAGCTCAGCTGAGTGGAGCTGCCGGGCCTGGCAACACATGGCAACTAGGCTGGGAACACGGAAGAGCAGCGTGAATCCCACGCAGGGGGAGGCTGACACACGGCACGTTCCCTATCTGCACTGGGTCTCGCGCCTGAGGCGCTTACTAACAAGGGGAGGGGAGGCATCCAGGTGAACGTGGCAGCAGGAGCAAAGGAATCGAGTGCAGCCTTGACCAGGTTTGAGGACCGTTGCTGTGCAGGGCGCTGGGGGACAGGAGCCCCGAGGGGAGGTGTTGAGGCCTGAGGACCCCTGCAGGACTAATAAGCAACGTGAGCCCAGAGCGTGACTCCACTGGAAAAAGGGACAGTCACCTGCCAGTGTGTTGGGGCTGGAGCGTGGGGCACTGGATCGCAGGTGGAGGAGTTGGGGTTCCCGTCCAGATGGCTTCTCCCTATTCCAGCTTCCACACGTGAGCGTCCTCCCGTGTCATGCACACCGCAGCCCCTTAGGAGACACGCTCTGGGACACGGGGTGAGGGGAATCTTCACTGCGCCTGTTGGCCCAGAGGCAAGGTCCCTGTGTGGGTTGCGTTGTGTCACCTAAAAAGATATGTTGAAGCCCCTAACCTCTGGTCCCTGTGAATGTTCCTTATTTGGAAGCAGGGTCAATTCAGGATGAGGTCATTAGGGTGGGCCATAAGCCACCATGACTGGTGTCCCCATAAGATGAGAAGACACACAGACACACACAGAAAGAATGTCACGTGAGGACGGAGGTGGAGATGAGAGCTCCGACCACACGCCTAGAACACCAGGGACAGAAGCTTCCGCCCAAAGTGAGGAGAAGCCAGGAAGGGTCCTACCCAGAGTCTCGGAGGAAGCAGGTCCTACCGGCACTTGATTTCTGACCCCTGGCCTCCAGAACTGCGAGAATAGACTTCTGTTGTTAAGCCACCCAGTTAGTGGGATTGTGTATGGCAACCCACTGACCCCCTGCAGGGGGTCACTTGGTCCCTGTGTCCAGGGCAGGGACGTGGCCTGCAGGGGGAGCAGTGAAGTGGCCCTTCCGAGCACCTCCAGGCTGCTAAGGACCAGCTTCCAAAGCTTTGCTGAGCTGCTTGGATGTGGGGGTCCTGGGATCGCCGGGACTGTGGCCTCTCTGGCCAGGAAATAGCTTTCCCGGCGACCTGTGCTCCTCAAGGAAGGGGGAGGGCTGGGTAAAAGAAGGGAAGGGAATAGTAAGATCGGGAGAAAGTAAGTGGCCTCTGTTAGGTCCGGAGCCGAGAGAGAGACACACAAAGCCTCGTGTAGCAAAATGCTGTTTATTTTGAGCGCCTGGGTGCAGACGGGTGGAGGCTGAACAAGCATCCGCCCCAGGAAAGAGAGAGCTGTGGGTTTTATAGGAGGTTTTCCGGGGAGAGTAAATAAGTGGGCTAAAACAGCCGCTTGTAATAAATTCTTAAACAACCAGCTCCTAGGACCCCTGCCCCAGTCACAGCCATCCTTCAGCCCCAGAGTCTTTATCAGAAGGGAGGGAGGCACAGACTTCGTCTCTGTGGTGGGGGGGGGGTGCTGGCTGCAGCTGGTGGGGGATGAATCGCGTCCCGTCCTCTACATACTTTTCGGGCTCCCGCCTAACAGCCTCACAGCGTGTGGCGAATAGAGAAGTGCCCAGGCCCGGCGGTCAGGAGTGCTCCGCACACGACCGGCTCCTTACAGGTGAAGCCTGGGGTGGCCCGGGCCCTCTTAGGTCCTGCTCACTTCCTCTCACCTGCAGGAAGGGAAGGAGCGAGGAGGGGGCTGCAGCTCTGGGAAGGGCGGGGAGGGGCCGCCCAAGGGGGCCGTGAGCGTGGCCGCACCCCCCAGCGTGCCACCTGAGCCCTTCTCTCTGCCCCCGTCTAGGCCTCTGCTTCGCTGTCTGTTACTGGGGATGACAGAAGGCCCCACAGTCGTGAGGAGGAAATGAGAAACTTCAGAGCAGGCATCGGCAAACTACCGCCTGCCACAGGATACAGCTCCCTGGGCTAAGAATGGGTTTGATATTTCTAAATGTCTGGGTGAGAAAAAGATGAGACCTCATAGGATTTGGGGAAAAGTAAGTGACACAATTGTTTCTATAAAATGGCACAGAGTGCTCCATAAATATTAGCTGTATTTCAGAAAAATATTTTGCGGCATGTGAAAATTACATGAAATTCTAACTTCAGTGCCTGTAAATGAAACTTCCCTGGAACACAGCCACTCTGGTTTCTTTACAGTCGATGGCTGCTTCCCTGTAGCAGGGCAGAGCTGAGTGGTTGCAACAGACTGGCCTGTGAGATACAGGCTCAGATACATACAATCTGGCCCTTTTTTAAAAAAGTGTTCAGAGGCTAGGCTTCGTGGCTCACGTCTGTAATCCCAGCACTTTGGGAGGCTGAGGCAGGAGGATCGCTTGAGGCCAGGAGTTTCAGACCAGCCTGGGTAACACAGCGAGACCCAATCTCTACGAAAAATTAGCTGGGCATGCTAGCGTGCCCTTGTAGGCTACTTGAGAGGCTGAGGCAGGAGGATCATTCAAGCCCAGGAATTTAAGGTTGCAGTAACCTATGCTGACATCACTGAACTCCAGCCCAGGTGACAGAGTGAGATCCAGGTTAAATTCAAGAGCAGCCTAGGATCTTAATTATTGCCAGTCCATCTGATAGGACCATCCCTGTTCTTGGTTCACTTTCCCACTTCTAGGACCTTTGTCTAAAAATGATCTTTTGATCTGACATTGCCAAGAATAGTAACTATTGGCTAACTTGTCAGCCACCTGGCTAGTTATCACTTCTGAAAAGGTGGCTGGGCGTGGTGGCTCACGCCTGTAATCCTATCACTCTGGGAGGCCAAGGTGGATGGATCATTGGAGCTCCCGAGTTCGAGACCAGCCTGAGCAAGAGCGAGACCCCATCTCTACTAAAAAAATAGAAAGAAACTAGCTGGTCAACTAAAAATACATAGAAAAAATTAGCCGGGCATGGTGGCGTGTGCCTGTAGTCTCAGCTACTTGGAAGGCTGAGGCAGGAGGGATCGCTTAAGCCCAGGACTTTGAGGTTGCTGTGAGCTAGGCTGATGCCACTGCACTCTAGCCCAGGCAACAGAGTGAGACTGTCTTGGAAAAAAAAAGAAATGAAAAGGATACCTACCACCCATGTATTTTTCCCAATTTGGGAACATGTCTACAGTTGGGATGCACTTAACAGTCTGAGTTAAGTACATGCCTTAACAGCACTATGACTGAGAATAGTCATAGTGAAATGGACATATTTTTTCCTTGCCTAGTGAAACAGGAATGAAAGGTATGTCTTACAACTGGTGGCTCTTAGGGTCAATGAAATGCAGTACGTGTATAACTATTATTCGAAGTAGGAAGTGGTAAATAAATGTTAACATTTTTATTCATTCACTCTATAAACACAGGGTGCTTTCTACGCACTGGGCACAGGGCTGGACGCTCAGGGCCCTGCCCTCCAAGCCCACCTGGACTCTACCTTTCTTTGGAACCCTGTCCTGGACGTCTGTCCATCCAGGACTTTTTTCAGAAACTTCCAAACGGAAGCTCGATTGAAAGTAACTGCAATTCACCACCAATCACCGGAACGTGGAGTCAAATACTGTCACTGCATCACGAAGAATCATCACAGGGTGAGGAGGGGAGGGGAAATTCACAATTCCTCGTAAATATTTCTTATTTACAGAGATTTGAAGTTGTTATGGCAAATCATGGCGCTTCCATCAAAACCTCCTGGAGACATACGGCAAAAGCTGGGGGGCTGCGCCGGGCCGAGCGCTCTCTCCAGGGGTCACCACCGGCTGCTCCAGCGAGGAAGACGGCACAGGCAGCGCCAGCTCCTCCCGCGCTAGTCCTCGGAAACCACACGCGTTTCCAGTGATGGGGTGGGATGGGGGGGTGGGCAACAGGGATGGCCTGGCGGCGGGGGCCTGAACGCCTGGGGATCAGGGAAGTCGGGGCCACAGCTGGGTGGTCTCCAGCAGCAGAGGAGGGATTCAATTCAGCACGTGGCGGGGTCCCAGCGCCCGCAAGGGCCACTAGGTCTTGCGGGGACTTTTCAGCTGCTGGCAGGCCACGTCCAGGTTTCTCTCCCCACTTCCTTTCAACGTTTAGGTGCTTCTGCGACATTTGCTGGAGCCTGTGCCACCTGCTGGCACTTGTGTGTGCTCCCCTCATGCCACCATCGATGGCAGACACCCTTACAGCCCCACGGCTGGGGACCAGGCCCTGGTTTCTTTGTGCCCCTAGTGGCCGGCACAGGCTGGATCTCCAGAAAGGCCCCCTGGCCTGCCTGCCACAACGGCTCGAAGGCAAATCTTACACCAACTGGACAGGGCCTATGGGGCCAAGACGGCCAGTCAGGAGCGCCCAGCTACTGCCAGCCCACCGCCAGCCCAGGCCCTTCCGTGACAACATGGCCCACAAAGCTGCCTTTCTCAGGTAACAGGGTGGTGGGGTGGGGGCTTAGGGGTGGTGGTGAAGTTACGGAAAGTTTCCGTGCATGTTGTGACAGCTCACCAAGGCTCTTGGATTCACACCTGAGGGACACTTGGGCTCAGCCTATTAAACAGGTGGCAAGGGTACAGCCTGGCCTCCTGCCGGGGCCTCCCAGCACTACTGCCCACCTGGGAAGCACTTCAGATCTTGTACAGGTAGCGTCCAGGAAAGCAAGAGGCACGGTTCAGGGTATGCAAGCCCTGGCTCCCCGTGTAGGCACTAAGCAATCGCCATCTCCTAACCAGCGTCTCCAAGAGTCACTCCCCTAACAGAACAAGGACAGTAAGCCACTCCCCTCCACCCGAACCCACACCCTGACAGTCCCCTCCAGTAAGGCTCAGATCTCACCCTGGGCCCCGCCTCCATGCCACCCCCCTGTAGCAAGACACCCGTGGGCACTCTGCCCCCCTCACGGGCCCTGGGAAGCCCAGACAGCAGCACAGGAGACTCACACCCGGCCAAGGAGTGCCCCTGCGGAGAGGCTGCTTGGATTCAAGGAGCACCAATCGCCCCGGCACCCTTAGTGGCCCCTTAAGGGACTTCTCCAGGTGCTAGCCTGCATTCTCCATCTTCACACGACAGGGAGAACTGTGCAGGGACCCCGCCAGACCTTCCTGACCACCACCACTCAGCTGCCTGTCCCCGGGGCTCCCCGAGAGCCTGCTCAGTCCTCTGCTGTGCCCTCAAATCTGGGCACAGCAGAAGGGTCACTGGGGGGCCTTCCCCACATTGCACCCTTGAGGAGGTGGCCGGGCCCCCCACCTGGGGAGCCCCCTCACACACCGCATGAGATGGGGAGGCTGGCTGGCTGGCGTGGCTGCCCTCGTGGAGCACAAGCCAGGAGGGACAGGTGAAGCTCTCGCCACACTGGCCGCAGGGATAGCCCTTCTCCTGCGGTGGCCGCGCAGGTGCCACGTGAAACTGGGCTTCCACACGAAGCACTTGCCACGCTGGGAGCACTGGAAGGGCTTCTCGCTGGTGTGCGTGTGGTTGTGGGCGGCGAGTATGGACTGGTGCACAAAACTCTTGCCACACTGGCTGCAGGCATAGGTGCGCATGGCGATGGCAGGCAAGCGTGGCCCACTGTGTGAAGCTTTGGGGACAGTGGGCACAGGGCTGGGGGACACAGTGCTCCTTCCAGCCAGAGCTCTGGCCACACTTGGTGCAGGGTGGGCACTGCCCCATGCCCACAGCCAGGTTCTGGGGGCTTGGAGGGATGGAAGCCACTTCTCTCCTGGGGACAGGAGGCAGATCCCCACAGGTAGCCCCTCCAAGCCCTCCTTGCCAGGTCCCCCTTCAGCTTCCCAGGCTGGCTCCTGCGCCTTGGACTCTTCCTCCAGACTCTTCTCTTTGCTGACCAGCCACAGCTCTGCTGAGGAGGACACACAGGGGCTCAGTGTGAGCCTGTCACTGAAGACACTTGATCTCCTAACTTGCCTTCTGCCAGGGTCCCACCCTGTGCTATTCTACCTAATGCCACCCAAGCACCCTGCGCATCCACCTCTGAGCCCTGACTCTGAGGGTCTTCTCTAGAGCACCTCTGGCCTCCCGTCTCCTGGAGCCTCCCAAGCCCAGAACAGTGATGCTCAGCCGGCCCCACCTTCATCTGGGCCACACACGGCCATCGAGACATCCCTTCTTCCACAGCATAACTCCAGAGCACCTTCAGCTGTACCCACGTGGTAAATATATGTGCTTTTTTCTTATGTTACTGGCCATAATCGTCACTGGACTCTCAAAGGGCTCTCTGGCTCTAGCAACAGCTGTTTCCTCCTCCTGTTTTACACTGTTGATAACCATGCTAGTGTCCTCCCTCTTCCTAACTGCGAGCTCCTTGAGGGGAGAACACAGTGTCTTGCATCAGCGAGTCCCTGCTGCCTACAGACAAGTTCATAAAAAGAATCATTTCAGGGAGCTGTATAGGACACAGCACAGCAAACACACAAGACCAGAGAGAGAGAGATGACAAGGGAGGCTCACAGGGGACCCCATGTTTCCCAAGGCCCGGGCACATAGCCTGCAGCCCTACACCCTGAGCACAGGTGTGCAGTGGGGGTCTCCTGCGGGCCCTGCTGGTTCCACCCACACCCCTCTTCCTCTTGCTTGAGCCAGGGCAGAACCTCTGGGCGAGAGGCCAGCTGGCCTGTGCCTAGGGGGAGAGGAAGGCCCCGAGGCCATCAGATGTCATGGGGCTCCTTTCCTCTCCCATCTCAGTCTTTGGTTTTACACAGCAAAATGGTAACAGTGTCTGCGCTGGGGAGAGGACCAGAGTTGGGCAGGTGGCCAGTAGAGAGCGCCTTTAGCTTTATCCGTGACCTCTGCACTGCTTGGCGAGAGTGTGTTCCTGTGAGACTGTATCTGCATAATCAAAACAGACACTTGCAAGGGTTAGAGGCCGGTCAGTTCCTGTTCGGAAGGATTTCAGAGCCGTGGTTCTCAAACTCTGCACTAGAATCACCCGAGGAACGTGCAATGCCCAGACCTCCTGAATGAGGACCGCGTATACACGGTTCCTGGAATTCTGGCAGGAGGCGGCCACCTGTGGAAACGCCCAGTGGGTAAAGCAGTCTCATATCCATACGGGGGCCTGCAGGTCTGTGGCAGAGGAAGCAGCCCCTAAGAGTGAGGCCTAGTCCTGGGGAGGGAAGGGGAAAAAAGCTCCCTCCTGATCAGTCTGGAGAAGCTAAAGAGAGGGTGGAAGAAATGGAAGAAGCTGCTAAACAGCAAGGACTACCCAGACCACAGGGCAAACCCCTGCACACACCTTATTCCTCCAGGTGCTTGGGGGTTTGCTCCAGCTTGCTCAAGTTGCATTCAGGAGCAGCCCTGGCAGAGCTGAGCCCGGGCTGGGGGCATCTGGCCCTGGGACACCTCGACCAGGCCCTGCCTGTTTTACATCTACCCGGTAGCTGCTACAGCCCTGGGCACCATGGCGCTGGCCACAGCCTCTGAGCCAGTCTGGCCCATACCTGTGGAAGGGGCCCAGCACCCCTCCTCGTACCACAGGGGAGGAAGCCCTGCCCAGGCTCCTGCAGTAACAGCGCTCAGTGAAACCACACAGCCCCCTCCCCGGCAGGCTGACCGCGCTCACTCGGGCTGCCACCTTCCTCCTGCCTCAGATCCTTTACTCGCTGCCCTTCCACTGGGCTCTGTGCTGCCCCCATGCCCTGTAGGTGCCTGAAAATGCTACTTTTAGCCTCAGTCCTACATACCAGCCACTCAATACCCTTGTCAACACCCACCTCCTTCTCTGGGCTTGCTGTCACCTAATTTACCTACTCAAAGAGCTTGCTTCAAAGGGGAACTTCTCTCCCCAAATAAAATATAAAAATCTGGAAATTAAGGAGCAGTGTCAGGGCATGATCTATTTTGTCTGAGCAAACAGGGCTCCCATCCCCTGCTTCAACAAGAGTGTCCACTGTCCCCTCTGTTATGCGTTTCCAGCTGCCATTTGAATAAAGGGTTCCTCCACTTAGGGAAAAAAAGCTTTGAAAACTGCATTCTGATTCAACGCTGTTATCTGAAAGACACACTGCACTCCTATTCTGGTTCATCGTTCACCTACTGTTCATTACTCGATACCCTAGTACGTGCAGGTGCTGGGGAAGGGCCATCACAGCAACACACAGTCCCTTGCCCCGGGGAGGACCACCTGAGCGCACAGGTGCAGGGCAGGTCTCCAGGACAAGGCTGGCCGCCCCACTTCTCAGGATTCTGCACACCCTACAATAGCCTTTCTCAATCTCAGGTTCCTCAGTATCTGCTCTGCCCTTCCCACAAGTCCCAGAGTAGTCTCAGGCCATAGTGATGGCTCCGAAGGGACATGGAGAACAGGGAGTGGCTTAGGCATTCCCTGGGTGTCAGAACCTGGGTCTGGGCCTGGCGTCAGGGGACTCCTGACACCATATGCCCTCACCAGGTGAAGGTGGGGAAGGTCCTGGCCCGCCCCCACCCTGAGGGACTCACCAGGGTGCTGACCCCCATCTGCACTGGGCAAGCCATGGCTGCCTGCCTCCTCTCCCTTCTCTGTTGCGGTCAGGAGTTCTGGCTTGGTGGCAGCACAGCCTGTGGGGAGAAAAGGGCAGTGACAGGGCTGTCCTCCACAGGCCCAGAGAAGAGGGGGTATCTTGCCAGGCTCGAAGCAAGAGCCGCTCCCCCTTCGAGGTGTGTGTTAGGGGCACTGAGTGTGGGACGTGACAAGTCCTCCAGGGCTGGCTGGAAGTAAGAGTGAGAAGGCCAGGAGGAGGGCCCCATCTCACTGCCTACACAGACAGGAGCCCAGGCCACCCGTCCAGCCACCTCATGTGACAGATGAGGAAATGGAGGCCCAAGAGGGGGCTTTAGTTACACCTGGCAGCCAGCTCTCGGCTTCCTGCTGCCCTCCCTTCCGTGTGCTCAGCCCTGCCCCCAAGGCCAGGCAGCCTTCCCACCCCACCTCCCCGCAGCACACTGGTACCCTCTTCTGGAAGAGCAACCTTTGGGGTCAGGCAAAGGGAAGACACTGTTCTGAGCCTCAGCCCCTGACAGGGGGGAAGAGCGGACCAAATGCCAACTGCCCACCTGCCAAAGCAGGGAGAGTTCAGGTGTGCACGCAGGGAAGCACGGGAGTGGGGTGGCTACAAAATTCCAGGTCTAATCAAATCTTAACACAAGCAAACACACCCCCCTACCTGAAGAACCTAACATTCTAGGCCTGGCCCTCATTTTCTACACTTGGGCACCCTTAAAAGTCACCCACAATCAATCAGGAGCTCCTTGAGAACTCACAGTGTGCAGAGTATAGCTCAGGAGTCAAATACAAAGCAGGGGAGGCCCCCATGCCTCAGAAGTAAACCGCTGGCAAGGGAGACCTGGCGAAGGGCAGGACAGGGAGCACCAGATTCCAATTCCTATTTACTCTCCATGAGACCCTGGACAAGTCATTTAACCTGCTTCATTTCACAAAACCTAAAACGATAATTAAGGATACCTTCTACGTGGCCTGAAGACAGAGGGCTGATTAAATGACCTCCACGTGCTTCCCGCACTCACATCCAAGTCTCATTTGATTGAATAAAGGAATAAAACCGAGGCTCGGGGCCAGCCTCTTACCCGGGGAGCGCAAGGCCTCATGGTTCCCCTTCACGGCGCCCGTGCAGAGCTCCTCCTGCCGGTTCTCTGGGGCACGCCCTCGAGGCTCTGAAAAATACAGCGCTGCATCTTCAGGGGCCCCGGCACCTGCGAGCACAGCCATCCACAGCTGTTACAGAGAACAGCCAAACCCACCTGGTCCCTTCTCTTCCCTCCTCCAAACCGGAGGCCACTGCCAGCCAAACCACTGGGCAAACTCATTTCTAAGTTAAATGACTTGTTCCTTCCACTAAAGGGATTCAGGATCAGGCCTCCTGGGTTCTCCTCCCCTCTCTTAGTCACATGTATCTTCTGTCCCAAGTGTGGACTTCATGGAAGGGCTTTCTGGTGATTTCCCCTACTTGAGCCAGTCCTTACTCTCAGAGATCATTCCAGAATAAGAAGTATAACCATTGCTGCACAGCCATATCCCTCCCGACAAAACCCATTCCATCTGCCAACACGGGCATTTTCCTGGTGTTGCAATTTTCTTCTGACATTTTTCAAGCCCTTCAAAGTCAACTGGTGACCAGCATTAGGCACCCAGGGGTCAGGCTTCAGCAGCCGAGGGGCTCCCTCCACTGTGTGGGTCCTCTCCACCCACACCTGGTTCCTGTACCTTGGGGGCCTCCCCCTTGCTGCCCGGGGGCAGCCGCAGGATCCAGAAGTTCCTGTTGCGCAGCAGGTTCTCCACGCTCTCCAGCCGCCTCTGCAGCAGCCCGTACTCCTGCAGCAGGGTCCCCAGCACAGCCCACTTGCCCTCCAGCTGGTTCCCGAACTCCATGGCCGTCTTCTCGCAGTCGGCCAGCTTCTTCTCTGCTGTCTCCGTGCACCCCTCCAGGCTTTGAAGTCAGATAGCCTGAGACTCCATCTTTTCTCCACTGCCTGAACGGCAGCCAAGACGGCCAGAAGGGAGATCTCAGCAGACTGGATCTGGGCCCCTCGTTGGAGGTCCGTCCCCATATGCCAGTCCTGTGATTAGACACGAGGAGGTGAGTCAGCCACCAGAAGAGAAGCCCCGAGCCACTCCCAGCTACAGGAAGGTCTGGGTCCTCTGGAATGCAGGAGACTTCTGGGTGCCAGAGACCTCACTGGTCCGACTCCAAACAGACCCCACCTGACAGTCAAAGACAGCACACAGTGGATCTCACAGAACCCCCGTGAGAACAATCCTGAACCAAGACTGGGGGGCAAGAGAAAAGGAAATGACAAACACTACTATCACAAATGAACAGTGTGTAATGGAGTGGAATCGCAGCTCTACCACCTACTTAGCTTAGCCAATTACTAAACCAACCTGGGATCACAGCCCAGCAGCAGCACGCCAGTCCAGAACACATGCCGGGGGGCCCGGGGGGCCGGGTCCCACGCACACCCAGGCAGCAACCTCAGTCCTCACCTTCCTCTAGAGCAAGCACAGCCCCCTTAGCGGGCTCCGAGGGGAGAAAGGTCTTGCTTCTGGCTGTGGGCTCTCTAAGGCCCTTCCGCCCTGACATATACCGGTGTGTGACTTCCTGCCCTGCCTGAGATCCCAGGGCCCAGGTGCCTTGTGGACCAGCCCCAGGGGAGTCTCCACACTAGAAGGCCAGGTCCTAGCTGCCAGGCAATGGGGACCAGAAAAAGTCAAAAGAAGAACAAGGAGAGAAGGAGTGGCAGAACAAGGAAATATTTCAAAGAATACCTTGCCCACAGGAGATAGAAAAATGTATCATATATTACCAGAAACAAAATTAAAAATCCAAGAAGCATCAGCAAGGAACAGCTGAAATTCAAAGGGAGCACTCCTGGAAATGGAGCTCTACCAGCTTGACTCAATGCCTCTCCTGCCATCTGAATCCTGCGTAATTGGAGGTAAAGCCACATAACTTCTCCGAGGTTCTGTTTTCTCACTTTTGAGGACCTAACTTTCCTAACTCCTAAGGTGGTTGTGTGGATGAAATGCACTACAAGCATGGGAAAGCACTCAGGGTGTATGACATTAACACATATTATTAAAAACAAATATAAGCACCATGAATCAATGATCAAAATGTGTTATGAACCAAAGACTGTGATTCATCCATTTTGCGCGACTGAGTTTCCCAGGACCTCTCTGATGAAAGTACTCAGAAAAGTGCCCCCCACACACTAGGCACTAGTCACCAGATGCCTACCCCTTCCTTACTCCCCTCACAGCACAATCTCTCCATCCCCAAGTCCAGTCTCTGCCCAGGACAACGAAGTGTACGTGATCTCCACAGATTAGGAACAAACACCCTTACCTCCCTGCAATGTCCAGCCACAAATCTGGCATCCTGGAATATATTTAAAACCACTACAAAGCTATGCTACCAAGAGATGACCCTCTACCTTCAGAAACAAAAATCTTACCTCAACAGTTCTTGTCAAGCAAGCAAAGAATGGATTAAGTCAAGCCTAAGCCTGAAGCCCACCAACTGAAAGTCCTCTACAATGCAGATCCAGCCAGGTGTGGTGGCGCGCACGTGTAGTCCCTGTAGTAGGGAGGCTGAGGCAGGCAGATTGCTTGAGTCCAGGTGTTTGAGGCTGCAGTGAGCTATGATCAGGCCACTGCACTCCCACCTGGGCAAGAGAGCAAGCCTGTCTCAAACCAAACAAAAAACAATGCAGATTCCTTCTCAGCAGCAGTAGGGCGGGCTTCCTAGGGGCTTTTGGAAAACGGTGGGCAGGCACACAAACCCATCCTGATTGGAATCAGGGCTCAGGTCTAGAGGACCACTCACAGCCGAGGGCTCAGACTGGAGGGAATACACCCTCCCCAGACGATGGCATCTGTCTTAGCTTGGAAAAGGAGGCTAGGAGTTGGGTAGACTGTCTTTCTGAGATGGCCAACTGGGGCATGGGTGTGCCCAAAGGACAGGAGCAGAAAGAAAAGCCTGGGGGAGTCTCCGGAGCAAGGACCTCCACATCCACAGTCCACTGCCCCCACAGCTGGACCCAACAGAGCCTGATCCAGTGGCTATTCGGGCTGGAGGGAACCTCAGAAATCTTGTGGTCAAGTCCCACCGCCTTGCTCTACAGAGGAGGAAACTGGGACTTTACCGTGTGGTCTCAGGCGTCCTTGTCCTCCCTCCACCCAGGCTGAGCCCTCCCCAATTCCAGGGGTGGCAGGGCGGGGAGCGGGGCTGGGGAGTAGGACCTCCTCCCAGCGGATTCAGGACTCGGCTCCACATCCCCAAGTCCTCAGTGAGGTCCGCCGTCACCGGAGCCGCCTCAGCCGTGGCCCTGCGCTGTCCAGCCCGACCTGGGAGTCGCCGCCGCGCGCGGCCCCACGCACAGCCGGCCGCCCGGTCCTCTCCACGGGCGGCGCCGGCCCGGGCTCACGCGGCCGTCAGGCCTCGGACACGCCGGGCGCGCAAACTAAGCCCACGCGGCGGCGTCGGCCAGGTCGCACCAGTATTCGCGCGGCGGGACAGGCGGCGCCCGGGTAGCGAGCTGGACCCCGCCCCGCAGCCTGGGGCCAGCTCCCCATTGGCTGGCCCGGGAGGCCCCGCCCCCGCCCCGCCCGCGGACAGTCCCTGCCGCCCGGAGACGGCTCACCATTGGCCAGCTCGGGAGGCCCCGCCCCCGCACTTTGCGGGCGCACAGCAGGTGTGAGCGCCGGGGCCGGGGATGCCTTCTCTTGGTAAGGCGCCCTGAGCCCGCAGCTCGTGCGCAACAGCCGACCGGCGTCGCCAGCTGTCAGTGCTCTGCTCACCTGCCCGAGAGCAGGAACCAGGTTGCGTGCACCGTTCATTTATGCCAACATGTTTATTGAGCACCGATTAGGGCAAAAGTCTGCCACCTTCACGGTTCCCAAGGGCTTTTGAGGTCGTGGCCCAACCGCTGCTGTTTTACAAAAGAGGAAGCCTAGGCCCAGAGCTGGGACAGTAAGGCACGCTAGGCTCCTGCACCACAGAGCTTCCATTTACTCATTTCAATGTAAAGAACGTTTTTTTCAGTGCGTCCTGTTCAGCGCTAGGCAAACTCCCAAAGCCTAGCTCGCAGCCGAACACACTGAAGGTTATAATAAAAGTGGCACACAAGCGCATAGCAATTCCTGGTTCGCGTTTCCATTGGAGTACCTGTATGTGTGCAGATCATTTAGCATTAGAAGAACTTGCCCAGATTCTTAGCCCAGAGACATCCCCAGAACACCTGAGACTAGATTTGCAGCAGAGTTAGGCTCTGAGCAGCTACACTTGCACCATAATCCTGTCTGAGCACCTGCTGACAGCCCACTGCTCATTTGTGAAGCACGTGGGCAGAATCCACTGCCCAGAATGAATGGTGCCCTTCCCAAACCCAGGGGAGCTTGGCTGACTCATGGGATACTTATCCTCGCCCCAGAAATGATGGCAATGTTATCATCTTCCCCTAACTCCGTTCAAGACTTTAGGAAAGCTGTAAGGGGTCAGAAGGGCAACAAGGGCACAGCCAGGACCCCCAGGGGGCACAGCCAGGACCCCCAGGGCCCCGGATGCAGGTCCAAATGCTGGCCACTTCTTAGTGCCAGACAAGACAGCGAGCTATCAGGACAGCTGTGGACCCATCACTCCAGTTGCAGAATTACCCTCACCAGGGCTGCTCTAGAGGCAGCACCCAAAGTGGTGTGATTAAGAGGTACAAGAAGCTAGCTTTCCTCATGACTCCTCCATGAGGCCTGGTAGCGCCTGAACTTCCAGTCTGAACCTTGTGCTTTAGTAAGAATTTGTTTGGTTGAAATATAAAGGGCTCCTGGAAGACACAGCTCAGAGGGAAAAGTCTTTCGAAGCAGCAACCCCACTCACTACAGAAGACAAAGGTGCTTCCTGAGGGATTCTGACTGGGGGGAGAGGGCTGGTGACCAACATGTAAGAGAAAGGAGGCCCTGAACTTGAACATGACAAAACTAGGCCTCATGTTTGGCCCAGTGCCTCTAAATTTGACCCTGATAACTCTAAAGTGAGGTAGGACACACTGGAGCCATGCATGACCCCCTTTAACAGACAAGGACTATGAGTGAGACCATCAGTGGTTGAAGGATTCACCCAGGTCTAGCCCAACTCTGCCCCAGAGCCTGATTCTCAAAGGAGAACTACACCTCCACCAGGAGGCAGCCCCTCCTTTAATGGGACAAAGCAGGCCTGGAGGGCTGACCAGCCTCACCCAGCCCAGGGTCTTCTTGGGGAGGAGCTTCCTGGGCTCACTCTGCATCCCCCAGGTGTCTTCTGGGGTCCAGTTGATGGACCTTGCAAACCCATGAACACTGAGACCTTGGGGGAGCAGTGTCTTCCATTCCTCTCTCAACTGATAACAAAGTCAATAATGCATGTGACTCTCCAGTGGGAGGAGGACTGGGAACACTGGGAACACAGGGAACACTATGAGCCAAACCCACACCTGCGAAAACACTGTTTCTAGAACGGCAGCAACAGCCTCCCCATTGAGACCCACAGGCTGGTGGAGACCGAGCTCCTCTTCTAGCCCTTCCAGCCCTGCCAGCCCCATGCAGAGAGGAGGTGGCAGAATAATTCCTGCCCCTCAGGAGCTCTGGTCCCCATTGCAACCACACACATACAAAAGCACTAGAAAAGTTCCATAGAAGAAAAAAAAGTTTCAAAATAACAAAGTAGAAAACTCAGTTTCCAGTGCCTTTTGTTCAGGCTGTCCATCCGCTCTGCTGTTGCTCATGCTGACTGCAGTGGAGAGACCTCTGTGCACACACAAACCCCAGGTCCCCTGTCTATCGCAGCGCTGTGATCTCTGCTCCTCTTACCTGTGGTACCTGCCAGAGGCCCCCACCAAAAACTGGCATCCTTTAAGTCCTAAGGAATCCTTTACAAGTCAGGAATGTAGAAAAGGAAGTGAAGAGTGACAAACTCAGGAAACAGGAAATGGAGGCATCTGGTCATATGTATACACTCTGCCACCAAAAGGGCCACTGCTTCCCATCAGAGTGAAAAAAAAACCAAAACCTCTCTCCAAACCATCCCAGATGAGGAAGCAGAGCCAGGCACCAGGGGGAAGGCAGGCTGAGCCTGGCAAGCAGAGAGCAGGTCCTGCCTGCTCAGCCCTCCTCGGTCCGGCTGGGGTGTGGCCTGAGCGGGCTTCGCTGGCAGGCAGAGGGAGCCCGGAAGTGCGGGCCCACCTGCCTGCGGGCGTGAGTCTGCATGTGGACTGCCAGGTGGTGGTTCCGGTTGAAGGCCCGGCCACACTGGGGGCACTGGTACGGCCGCTCGCCGGTGTGGATGCGCTGGTGGCGGAAGAGGTCCGAGGGCCGGCGGAAGGCCTTGCCGCAGTAGGGACAGGCAGGCCAGCCCTGGCTGTTGCCCGTGTGCAGGCGCTGGTGCAGCAGCAGGCTCTTCCGCTGCGGGAAGAAGCGCAGGCACTCGCTGCAGTGGTACACCTTGGTGGTCGCTGGCCTCCGCCCCATGAAGGCACGGCCAGCCACGGGGCGGTGGCCCTCGCGCTCCTCGGGGAGCCAGCGGATGACAGGGCCGGGAACCACCACCTCTCCAGGCTCCAGGGCAGCATGGCCTGCCCCCCACCCGGTGGGCGAGCTGCCGCTGGCCTCCCCGGGCTCCTCCTCTAGGTGGGTCCGCTGATGAATGGTCAGGTTAATCTTCAGGCGGAAGCTCTGCCCGCAGTCAGGGCAAGGGAAGGCCCGCTCCCGGCGGCGAGGGAGGACTCGGGGCGGTTCCCCTACAGCCCCTCGTGGCCGCGGCTCCCCCTCCGGCACCCTGGGCACACCCTTGGTGTGATGCCTGCCGGGGCCCCCAGTCCTATTCCCAGGCCCTTTGGGGATTCCACACTGGGCCTGGCTTGAGGACATCTCCAGGAAGAGCTGCTCCGGCATCATCCTGTCTTCAGACGGTGCCTCTGTCTTGATGGCTACACCACCACCTGGCAAAAGGAATCCACGCTGGCTTCCAAGGGGACCTCACTGCCCTGTCCCCAGTCCTTGCTTCCAGGCTCAGCCTGGCTCCTGCCCCCTGGAATCCACAGCACAGAGGCACCGCCTCAGGATTTCATTCAGTCCTGTTTGCTGTCATTTGCCTCGTTCCTGGAGGCGGCTGAGCTAAGGACATCAGGGAAGAGGACATCAAACTGCCAAGCCAGGAGCCAGGGAGGTCAGGGGTCAGCCAGAGCAGGAGACAGATGGGTGGGAAGATGAGGGGGAGATACAAAGGCAGAGACACTCCGCATGGCAGAGGTGCTGGCAGGACCCCAGCCTCACGAGTTCTGATGAAGTTAGCTACGACGCGTGAAGGGCAATGAGCCCTGTGGGCTCAAAGCGACTCATCCACACAACAAGTCACACGGGGTGTACAGGCCTGGCACTGCACTCGCTGGCGACAGACAGAGGCACTAGGACCTCAGTGTGGGCCTAGACCCTGAGGGGGACTGAGGCACAGGAACAGCCAGGACAGGGCAGTGGGAAGGACGGGCTGAGGCAGCAGTGGGCAGTCACTGCGAGGTGTCCAGGCCCCCTGACCTGAGGTCTCGGCAGGCAGCTCTCCAGGCTCCCTACCACCAGGAAGGAAGGGTCCTGGCGCCAGGCCCATTCGGGAGCGCACAGGCGCTAGGCAGAGGAACCTGAATCAGATGGCAGGCCACACATGCACACTGCAAGTCACAGGGGACCGTGGGCCTGGCCCATCACAGTGCTGCTGAGGCCAGGACAAGACCATGCCAGTGGCTTTTCTGTCATCATCAGACTGCAGCCCTGGCGGCATGCAGCCTGTTTTCATGTAGTCCCTTTCCACCCAGGCCAGGCTGCAATGGGGAAGGACCAGGGCCACCGACTGATCTGGGTCCCCGCAGTCCCCAGGGAAATAACAGCTGGGGGTGAGGGAGAAGCCCCTCACCAGGTCCCATCACCCGGCCCACCCCACTCCCAAAGGGCCTCCAAGGGCCTGTGGGGCTCAGCCATGGCCACAGGTGCCTCCTCCCAGCACTCACCTGGCTCCGAGCAGGGCAGGATGTCCCTAGAAGGGGCAGTTGGTGACTCCCTGTCTGAAGACTCTCCCTCCTGTTTAATCAAGGACAAAACACTGGTGCTGGCTGGAGGCTCTATGAGAGAGAGAATCTCATGAGAGCCTTTTCCGACACCGGATTCCCGTAGGGTGGGACAGCCACGTCCCCTGCAGGCTCTGGACATGCTCAAGTACCAGCCAGGGAGAGGGGCCACAGGGCTTCTGTCTGGAGGGCTTCAGAGGTAAGAGAGCTACAAAGGCCACACCCCAGTCCCCAATGCAGGCCAGTGTTAACGACTTGGCCCTCAGCATCTGACTGTCACCCAGGTGGGCCTCAAAAGCACGAAGGGTTTGGGGACGCCTCAGGACACAGTTCCAGGTCTGCAATGTGGCAGGGACTCTGCCTTCCCACCCAAGAAGGTCCCATCTCTCCAACTCCACAAGCACAGCCCAAACTTACACACTGGCTGGGAAGGAGGAACCCAGGGAAGGGAGGAGCTGTCACCTCCAGCCTGTGGGAGGTCACATTCAGTGGGGGAGATACACCGAAATCACTGGAGAGAAGGCAACCAGAGGCTGAATGTCAGGCCAGCAAGGAGCACCCAGGTACAAAGACAAGGCCAAACATATACTAAATGCCCTGAGTCACACATTCCCATGAAACGATGGACATGGCTTGTCTTTAGAACTCTGGAAGGATGACTAAAGCCAGAGTTCCTAATAGGTCTTCAGAAAAATGACATTTACTAAAAACCTGTAACATACCAGCACCATGCCAGGACAATACATATACTGCCCCACTGATGTGACCCTCTTAGAACCCTGTGCAGGCCCAAGACATGCTCCTGCATGCCCCTCTCACTCCAGGCATACGGGCGTGCCAGGCCTCCAGAGCACCTGAAGAACCCACACTTCTATTCAGACCGTTGTGTCCAGCTGAGAATGCCAAACACACCTTCTTTAGGCCTGTCTCAGAGGCCCCTTTCCCAGGAAGCCTGTCTAGCTCAGTCCAGCTCAGCCCAGCTGGCTCCCCAGCCATCTCTCCCACAACCAAGCTGCCGGCTCTTATCCTCAGTAACCTTTTGCCATAACCAGCATGCTGCCCTGGGACAGTTTATCCTGCTGCCTCAGCTGCCCTGACTCACCGGCGCCTGGCCTGGGTGGGCTCATTCTTGCCTCCAAGTCTCGCTGCTGCTCAGGGGCTGTTGCTTCTCTTGGCTCCTCCTGGGCTGGGCTGAGTGGGCTGGCCGCATGCTCTGCATGTACAGCGAGGCCTGGGGAAAGCACAATCAGGGGCGCTGGGCACAACACGGACACACAGAGGCCTCCCACCCCAGTGGCCAGGGACCCTCTGTGGAAGGGCCAGTGCAGAGTCAATGGGAACTTGGGGCATCAGCTCAAACACAGGTGTGATGATGATCACCTAGTGGCTAGATTCTAGTCCAAACCCTCCACGTCCGAGAGAAGGAAACTGAATAGCACAGTGATTCACAGTAATTATCACCAGACAGGTCATGGCAGAGCAGGGTCAATAATCTGGCTTTTTGGCCAGGCATGGTGGTTTATGCCTATAGGGATAGATTATATCCCAGCACTTTGGGAGGCCAAGGCAGGAAGATCGCTTGAGGCCAGGAGTTTAAGACCAGCTTGGGCAACATAGAAGATCCCATCTCTACAAAAAAAAATAATTAAAAAGAATCTAGCTTAAGGCAGAGAGGAGAAATGCCATGTTGCCTGTCCTCCCAGCCAAGAAGGTGCTGCTGGCCTCCCCTGGCAGCCTCCTCCTCCAAGCCACTCTCCAGGGTGTCAGGGAGACCAGGGTGAGGCAGAAATATATACTGAAGGTGTGGCCCCTGGAGCATCCACCTCAGTGCTCATCTTTTGAGATGACTCTTCATCCCTGCACCTGCTCTCCTGACACCCCTGTGTTGACACAAAATGTGTGCTCAGCGCCGGCCTCTCAGGGTGATCCTAACAACCCAGCTGTTACCGAGATTTTCAAATGGTGGCTCCCAGAAATGAGCACATGTGCCCTCTCCCACAAGAAATGAAGCTGTGATTTTTTTTAAGGAAAAAAACCTGTGATGAGGAAAAAAAAAATATGAACAAAAGACTGATAGCGACAGGGCTGATGGAAATCTAGCATCTGAGCTAAAATCAGCTGAAGGCTCACATCATCTGTCCATTCACACTGAGAAGAGTTTGAAATCAGGTGGTTATTAAGCTCCTTTGGGATTAAAAAAAAAAAGAAAGAAAAAAAATGAAATCAGAAGGTTATCGTCAAGGGACAGAAAGGAAGTCCAGAATCATTGAAAAAAGTGGCTCTACTTCTAATCCTGAAGTAGATTTGAATTTACCACGTTGGATTTTCCTGAACTGCAGGATCCAGAGAACGACGATTAGCAAAGACAGAAAAGCAACCCAAGAGGGGCCCTGTCCACTCGACTGGCATTTCTCTTCTCAGACAAGTAGTAAAACCAGCTTCGGGGTTATCAGAGGGCAAAATAATGGTGAAAAATAATAAGCCAATTGAAGCTGTAACTGATAACACTGCTACCAATTCCCTTTCACATATAAGGGAGTTACTGTAGACACCGATGGGTTACACTGTTCCGCAGACATTATCTACAGACCTGTCACCAGCCCCTAAAAATGTTGCTTTCATGATAAACCGAGAGATGGCTGCTCCATCAGCAGTTCCTAAAAATTTTAGAATATCCCCTTCTGAAGTTTAATCTTTGGATCCTTCCTACAACAAAGAGAAACACATGGTTCATCCTACTAAAAAGTCCAAACCGGCTGGGCGCGGTGGCTCACGCCTGTAATCCTAGCACTCTGGGAGGCTGAGGCGGGCGGATTGCTCAAGGTCAGGAGTTCAAAACCAGCCTGAGCGAGACCCCGTCTCTACCATAAAAATAGAGAGAAATTAATTGGCCAACTAATATATATAATATAAAAAATCAAGGCTGAGGCGGGCGGATTGCTCAAGGTCGGGAGTTCGAAACCAGCCTGAGCGTGACCCCGTCTCTACTAAAAATAGAAAGAAATTAATTGGCCAACTAAAAGTATATATACAAAAAATTAGCCGGGCATGGTGGTGCATGCCTGTAGTCCCAGCTACTCGGGAGGCTGAGGCAGGAGGATTGCTTGAGCCCAGGAGTTTGAGGTTGCTGTGAGCTAGGCTGACGCCACGGCACTCACTCTAGCCTGGGCAACAAAAGTGAGACTCTGTCTCAAAAAAAAAAAAAAAAAAAAAAAAAAAAAAAAAAAAAATTCAGCCGGGCATGGTGGCTCGTGCCTGTAGTCCCAGCTACTCGGGAGGCTGAGGCAGGAGGATTGCTTGAGCCCAGGAGTCTGAGGTTGCTGTGAGCGAGGCTGACGCCACGGCACTCACTCTAGCCTGGGCAAGAAAGCGAGACTCTGTCTCAAAAAAAAAAAAAAAAAAAAAGTCCAAACCAACACAAGAGGGTACCTCTGAGCAAAATGAAGCCTCAAGAAAGAATGAGAGAAAGGTCTAAATCAAAACATGAAATCCTAGCAGTTCAAGAGCCACCAAGAATTAAAATTTTTTAAATAGTGGGAGAAGACCCAAAGTCTGGTACAGCTGGATTTGGGGGCAATGCTGACAGCACTGGAAAAGCTGCAGCACCCCCGGAATCAGAGCCTTCCTGCACACTGGTGGTGTTCCAGATCTGGGCAGAGCTGGGCTCCTCCACAGATGGCTCTTCAGTCAGGTGAGGAACCCAAGCCGCCCCTTGGACTAGCCCCCACTGCCGATGAAGAAAGGGAAGCAGCAGGAGGTCCCCAAGAACAAGAGGCCAACCTCACTGAAGATTATTTTGGAAGAACAGCAGGAGACACAGCAGCAGCATCTCCCAGAAGATGCTGTGAGCCCAGCCTTTGCCAGTGACAACGGCAAGAGGCCCATGGTGCCAACCAGTCCCTCAAGCAGGTGGACCCTTCAGCCCCAAGGGGATGGAAGAATTGGACTCAAAGAAACACTATATGTCAAAGTTCCCAGATTTCAGTTTGGTAATCTATAAATCTTTTCTTTTTAAATGAACATATTCTGAGTATGTTCTCTGAGGTAGAGGCTAGGAGGAAAGTTTACTTTCATAGTTTCCCTGTAAATAAAAGGGCTGCTTTATTTTTTTTTTTTTTTTTTTGAGACAGAGTCTCGCTTTGTTGCCCAGGCTAGAGTGAGTGCCGTGGCGTCAGCCTAGCTCACAGCAACCTCAAACTCCTGGGCTCGAGTGATCCTTCTGCCTCAGCCTCCCGGGTAGCTGGGACTACAGACATGCGCCACCATGCCCGGCTAATTTTTTATATATATATCAGTTGGCCAATTAATTTCTTTCTATTTTATAGTAGAGACGGGGTCTCGCTCTTGCTCAGGCTGGTTTTGAACTCCTGACCTTGAGCAATCCGCCCGCCTCGGCCTCCCAAGAGCTAGGATTACAGGCGTGAGCCACAGCGCCCGGCCTGCTTTATTTTAAATAAAGATTATTTTTTTAAAAATGATTCTGGCTTTTTAGGGACTCCTGGCTCAGAACACTAGAACGAGGGCTCCCAAACCCAAGTCCTCCACCAGGCTGCTATAGAAGGACCCCCAGTGAGCACCCCCAGATTCTGAGCAGTAGTTCTGGGTGGGGCCTAGGAAGTATGCACTTTTTAAAAACTTTCTATAGCCAAAAAAGATGAGTAATTCACAGAATAAGAAATTTAAATGACCCTTAACCATATTAAAAAAAAAACAAACTCAACCACACTCAATAAGAGAGGTGCCATTAAAACTTCACTGACATACTTCTTACCTATCAGATTGACAAAAACCCTGCAAGTCTGCCCACATTCTGTTGGCCTGGCTGTGGGGAAGAGGCCCTCTTTCACAACGCAGATGACAGTGCAAACGATAGGAGCCCTATGGAGGGGAATTTGGTGATAAATTCTCCCAAAATTACATATTCATTTACCTTTTGACCCAGAAGTCCAGATTCTAGAAATCTAGTTCAAAGATACATTGGCAAAAATATGAACTGATTTATGTACAAAGTCCTCCTTGCAATATCATTTATATCAACAAAATACTGGAAATAATCCAAATGTCCACAGTGGGGATGGGATAAACTCTCACATCACAGAACATTCTGAATCCACAAAAGAACTGAGGACAGTCTCTACACACTGACCTAAAGTGATCTCCAGGACACACTGTACAAGACTGGGATAGAGATACAAATGTATCTATGTGTTACTGATATTTCCAAAAAGAAACACTGCAAGTACAAATAAACTAATAAAAACAGTTATCTAGGTCGGGCGCGGTGGCTCACGCCTGTAATCCTAGCACTCTGGGAGGCTGAGGCGGGTGGATTGCTCAAGGTCAGGAGTTCGAAACTACCCTGAGCAAGATAGACCCTTGAAGGACTGGCACAGGAAAACATCCAGGACAGGCAGTGGGACAGGACGGGTGAGGCATGCAGTGGCATTCCAACTGCGGTCAGCCCCAGACCTGAGGTCTCGGCAAGCAAGCTCTCCAGGTCCCTACCACCAGGAAGGGAAGTCCTGGCCCGCCATCCGGAGCGCCAGCGCTAGCAAGAGGACTGATATTGGCAGGCCACACATGCACACTGCAAGTCACAGGGACCGTGCCTGCCCTCACCAGTGCTGCCTGAGGCAGAAACAGCAGTGCTTTCTGTCATGCATCAGACTGCACCTGGCGGCATGCAGCCTGTTTTCATTATCCCTTTCACCCCAGGCTAGGCTCAGGAACCGGCAACGACTGATCTGGTCCCCGCAGTCCCCAGGGAAATAACGCTGGGTGAGGAGAAGCCCTCACCAGGTCATCCCCGCCCCACACCACTCCAAAGGCCTCCAAGGCCTGTGGGCTCAGCATGCCAAGGTGCCTCTCCCAGCACCAGGCTCCAGCAGGCAGGATGTCCTAGAGGCGCAGTTTGACTCTGTCTGAAGACTCTCCCTCCTGTTTAATCAAGGACAAACACTGGTGCTGGCTGGAGCTCTATAGAGAGAGAATATCATGAGAGCCTTTTCCGCACCGCAGATTCCGTAGGTGGGACAGCCACCCCCTGCAGGCTCTGGACATGCTCAAGTACCACCAGGGAGCACAGCTTCTGTCTGAGGCTTCAGAAGGTAAGACTGCAAAGGCACACCCCAGTCCCCCAATGCAGGCAGGTGTTAACGACTTGCCCTCAGCATCTGCGACTGCCACCCAGGTGGCTCAAAAGCACAAAGACACAACAATCACACAACACAC